TATATCTGTAGATTTTCCTAATCTGTATTATCGTTTAACTTATTGCAGAAAAGAACCGATTATCACATTGCCGGTTTCTTGAATTCCCGAAAAATTAAATGGTGGTTAGGAGGTCATCTACTTCAACTTACCTGAGGTTCAAATTACTGTTCTGGAATTAGATTAGTATAGTCCGTGGCGCTACGCGCCGCGCACACCTTCAATCTACATGCGGAACAACTTACTCTCAGCGGCCACGGGAAGCAAATTTGACATTTTCTTCACTTCCAAAAATGTCCTTCTCTGCCTATCCTATTTCCCCACCCCCAAAAAACTCTGTAACCACCGTTTTCGCAGGAAAAAATGCTGGGACTAGGGGTATATGAGTGGGCCTACATAAGCTACTTTTGCCACCGATTGAACCCTAAACGTAATTTCTACCGGAAGAATTGAAAAAAAGGGACCCAAGGCAATATAAATGCCGAAATAGGGTACGGAAGCGGGGGGAGGAGAGAGCACGTGCCTTCCTGTGCTGGTGAGGAAAGCGCCGGTCAGGAAGCAGAGGTAATATACGGGATAGAATCCGTGCCAGAAGGCCGACACGAAGAAGACAGCGACCACGGAGAACTGCTTGGGGACACGATCGTAGACACACTCCCGCAGCCAGCGCGTGGTGCCGATATTCCAGCCGTCAAAGATGCCCTTCGTGTTGGTGCCCAGCTGCATGGACAGGGTAGGAGGGAGGGAAAGAGAGAGAGAAATGGGTTGGCAGACATTATGACTGCGTGCAGAGGTTGGCAAAAGATCAGAAGGGTGGGTCGTGTGTGTGTGTGCATGTGTGAAATAAGCCGACAGTCCTGACCGACCGGTTAATAACCAACTAGCGCATACGGGGTGGCCTGGACAAAAGTACACCACCACCATCTGACGTCGGCGGAGTCACGTGCCTCAGCAGAAAAGTTCAAAGCTCCGGTCGGAGGTGAAAACATTGGCACGCACACAAAAACGCGCGCGCGCTTCTATCCACAACGTCGAAGCCAGTGCGTTTGACAGCGAAGCAATAGCAACGTCTCAGGTGTCTCTCTATTTCAAGCAACCTCAAGACTTGGCAATTAATTCAGATAATGTCAAGCAGGCATAGATGGGCAAAGTCTGGTTGGATAGCTTCTAACGAACACTGCTGCATAGCTGCTTGTGTGTGTGTTAAAATAAAAAGATGTAAGGACCTGGCAAAGAATGACGTTTTCAACAAGTCAAACTTCTCGAAATACACGGACCTACGTTAATTGTACTTGTACTACTTACTTGTTACGGCTGTGATTATGCCTGATCTAGCCGGACTCAATGATGTCACGAACGGTACCTCTCCATGCG